AAAGAGGACTCGGGTTAAAAGACTTGTTCATTTGGAATCAAGCTTGCATGATTAGATTTCTATGGTCTATTTTCTCAAAAGCAGGTTCATTGTGGATTGCATGGGTGCATAGTTATGTGCTTAAAGGGCGCAATAAATGGGAGGTACTTATTACACAAAGTAACAGTTGAAGCATGAAAACACTATTACAAATGAAGAGACATGCCACTCGATTGCAAATAGAGAAAGGCATAGGATGGAATGGGAGAGGTACTGAGAACTCAGTTACAGCTATATGGGATGAATTAAGACCGAAACAAATGAAGGTAGTGTGGCGTAGGCTAATATGGTGTAAGATGCATGTACCCAAACATGCAATCATAGCTTGGATAGCGATATTAAATAGACTTCCTACCAAGGATAGATTGAACGCATGGGGGATTACAAATGAAACAGAGTGTGTGCAATGCAAACAAGAGGATGAGTCTATGAGCCATATCTTCTTTAGTTGCAATTACTCTAAAGCTGTGTGGAAATAGGTTTTACAGCTTTGCAAGTTACATAGAGAGGTATGTGGTTGGGAAGAGGAATTCCATTGGGCTGTAAGTAGGGTGAGAGGGAAGGCACTAATATCTATCATATTAAGACTGGCATGGGGTGCATACATTTATCTGATTTGGAGTGAAAGGAATAAGAGGCAATTTGCTACTGTGGAAAGTAACGAAGGGCAGATCCTTAGAATGATAAAAGAAGTGATACAATTAAGATTGATTGGGCTGGAAAATATTGCTTTTGATAGTGTAAATAAAGATTTATGTGAGAAATGGGGTTTAAGAGGGGATATATTTGTATAGAAGCCTGAATGACAGTTGGAATTATATGTGTAGACACCCAATTTGATCCAGGCCCGGATCAATTGGGCCTGGTCCAAATAGGTAAGTCTATGTTCTTTTTTCTTCATTTTATTTTTATTTTTTATTTTTTATTTTTGTATTTTACATTCTTATTTTATTTCTATTTTATTTTTATTATTATTATTATTATTATTATTATTATTATGATTTTATATTTTTTTTCTTTTATTTTTTTTATCTTAGGTATTTATGTATTTATTAATATGTATATATATTTATTATTTTTTTCTTTTTTTTTTCTTGTTAATATTTATGTATATCAGATTATGTATTATCTTTTATTTAATTTTAATTTATCTGTTAATTTTCTTGATTTATCTGATTTATTTACAATTTAATTTTTTATTTTTTTGATTTATCTGGCTGGCAAATTGGATTGGAATTAATCAGAAGAGTCCATGTTGGATTCAATGATTGAATCCTGCAACAACAATCCTAGGATCCTTCTGAAATAGAAGAACAAACAGATAAACAGAAGCAAAAAGAATACTGGTTGAGTTGAAAAAGAGATACAGAGAAGATTTAAAGGTTAGGAAGGTTTTGGTGCGTTAGAACAGCTCTAGAATTAGCAGTTTTGAGATTTGCGTTTTTTTTTGGAATTTCTGAAAATTCCCAGATTTCGGTTGATATTTTGGCAAAGTTGAATTTTTCGATAGACAATTTCGATCCAAAGTTTGAAGTTTTCGCCCAGCTGCCCAGTTTTCGATGAAGATCCCAGAACACTTTTTTCGTGTGAACTTTTCGATAAAAACCCAGATTCCGAGAAAAAATTCTAGAATCCAGTAAATATTCAACTGGAGTTCTTCGGCCGTTTTAGAGAAAAACGAGAGAAAAAAGAAGGAAGAGAGAGAGAGGAGAGAAGGTTTCTGCTAAAAAACGAAGGAAACAGCCTTATATATCCTCCCAAAATGACGTCGTTTTTATGTTAAATAACCCAGAGGATCCGCGCGTTTTGTCGAGATCCGACCTGACCCGAGCGTCGACCTGCTTTCTGACCCGCGCGTGTTTTGCCTCCTCGAGCCGTTAGCTGAGCCAAGCCGACGTCCCGAGCCGTTTCTCTTCCTTGAGCCGAGCCGAGCCGTACTCTGAGCCGCTCCAGGTTTTTTTTTTATATATTTATTTATTTATTTGTTTTTTTATTTATTAAATTAGAATTATTTAATGTTCTTTTATCTTTATTTTATTTTTATTTTTGTTTTACTTTTTTTTTTATTTTCACTTTTATTTTGTTTTATTATTTTATTTTCTTTAAATAAAACCTAAAAAATAATATTTTTGGGGAAAAGTTGAAATTACAATTTTTCTTAAAAATAAATTTTCAAAAAAAAAGTTTTTGAAGAAAAGTTGAAAGTATCAATTTTCCTCGAAAATCAAAGAATCCAAAAAAAAAAATTTTTGGAGAAAAGTTGAAAGTATCAATTTTCTTTAAAAATAAATTTTCAAAAAAGGTTTTTGAGGAAAAGTTGAAAGTATTAATTTTCTTCGAAAATCAAAGTTTCCAAAAAATATTTTTGAGAAAAAGTTGAAAGTATCAATTTTTCTTAAAAAAAAATTTTCAAAAAAAATTTTTTTTAAGGAAAAGTTGAAAATATCAATTTTCCTCGAAAATCAAAGTTTTCAAAAAATATTTTTGGGGAAAAGTTGAAAGTATCAATTTTCCTCGAAATTAAAGTTTTAAAAGAATATTTTTGAGAAAAAGTTAAAAGTATCAATTTTCCCTACACAAAAATAATCATTCTTTTCTTCCATTTTTTTTATGTTAAATAATCCGACGATGGAGCCTCTGCAAGTGAAACAGTAGTTTTTCTTGCATACTCCTAAGGTGAGGGAATTTTTTTAATTTTTTACTAAAAGTATTAGAGTCAATTGAGAATAATTTTCAATAATTAATTACTTGGTAAAATTTTAAGGCTAATTGGATAATACAAATTTAAGCTGGTACCATCTTTTGATGGGCGTTGTGAGGGTGCTATAACCTTCCTCACACGTAACCGAACTCCTGAGTCATGTTCTGATCAGTAGACCCGAACCTATTCTTTTAGGGACCCTTAAACTTAGGTGTTCCCCGAAAGGACAGATTTCTTAGTTAGTCAATCGCACCTAAATAAAAAAGATTGGTGACGACTCCCTTAAATCAATGTCTAGCGATAGATCTCCAGATCTAGACGTTATGACAATATGAGTTGTATATTGGTAGTAGTGAATAACTATTTTTAAGCAATAAAATTATAAATTATCCAAGAAAAAAAAGTTGTAAAAAAAATTGAATAAAAATTGAATAATCATTTAATTTTCAATAATTTATTATAATCAATCGAGCATTAAATTTTTTGTTTTGGATTAATTGACTTTTTCGTTTTGGATTAATTGACTTTTTCTATTTCAGATCCATTGAATTCTTAAATATTTATTTTCATTTTAATTGAATTATCGATTAAACGAAAATGAGTATATACGGTTAATAATTTTTCATCTAATAAATGAAAATAGATGTTTGGGGATTTAATTAATTACAATAAAACATAGAGACTTGGATGATTATTAAATTCTTATTCAAAATTTTTTTAACCTTTTTGCTGTATACACACACACGTATATAAATACTATTCTTAACATGATATATACATGCAATATATTTCTTTGGAAAAATTTCCAGCTGGAATATCAATTTATTTTTATTACAAGAGGAGGTATTTACCTAACTATTTCAACGAGTTAAAACATTTTTCAATATATGTAATTTTAGATTACATAATGAAAATAGTTTTTTTTTGGCATAAATTTTGTCCTTTTAATTTGGCATTTGAATCAAAAATTTCAAATTAAAATCTTAAATTTTCATTGTTGAGACATCTCATTGACAATATAATTAAAACATTTATCATGTAAAGACATAATATAAGTAATTCAATTCACTTATGCATCTTGATCTTTAAGTGTTTATTATCAATAAAAATTATAATATATACTACAATAAAGATAAGAAAAAAATGTTTTTTTTTTATAATATCATCAAGGATATTTTAAAATTTTGTTTAGGCTTTTTTTTGTAATCTTAAAAAATATATATTTTCACATCGTTTCAATGTATTTAAAGTCTTATTTTTTAAATATATTTCATAAAAATCGAATTTGAATTGACAAAAAAAAAATATTCTTTTTGTCATAATGTATAAATCTGTAAATTTATAGTTAAAAAAATAACTTATCATTAAACATGATTTTAAGAGTCGTTATTAATCTTTGTGTGATTGATTATTTAAGTATATCTATTTTTTTTAAGGATATTTTATTTTTTAAAACCAAACACTAACTTCTCTAAATTTTATATAATTTTATCTTTCTAAACTTTTCAATTTTTTCTCTTTTCTAAAACCTTAGGAGTCTTAATTAGTTGGTCATGGGACTTACTCTGTAAACTTGGTCGACTTGACTTATCCTTTTTTGATCTCTTTCTACACTCTATCGAATTTTAAACATACATATGAATGCTTTTTGTGGAAAATTCAAGCTGGAAAATTGAAGGTCTTGGAAGAAACTTCCTAGCACTTGATGTGGTGGAAAATGTTTTTCTTTTAACTTTATATTTTTAATGGTGCATCTAATTATAAATATAATATATATTTATTAATTAATTACATTAAAAAATGTCAAATATGATAATTTGTAAAATATAAAAACAATAATATACATCCTTTACTTTTACAATTGAAAATATTTTTTTATTTTTATATTTCAACTCATTTTCATTTTTATTTTTTAAAAATTTATTTTCATTTTCAATTATCAAACATATTTTCACCCATATTTTTTATTTTTAAAGTAAAAATAAAAATAATTTAATTTTTTGAAACCAAACATTACTTTAACTTCTTTAAATTTTATATAATTTTATTTTTTTCTAAACTTTTCAATTCTTTTCTTTTCTAAGACCTAGGTAGTCTTAATTAGTTGGTCGTCAGACATACTCCATAGACTTGGTTGACTTAACTTTCCCTTTTTGGTTCTTTCTTTCTGCATTTGTTGAATTTTAAACATACATATGAATGCTTATTGTGGAAATTTCAAGTTGGAAAATTGGAGGTCTTGGAAGAAACTTCCTAGCGCTTGATGTGGTGGAAAATGTTTTTTCTTTTAACTTCATATATTTGGTGTTGGTAGCAATGATCGGCATACAACCATGAGAGCAGTTACAAATTCCTTTTTTGGATTTCTTTTTGTCATCGTAGCCACCATTATTAGCACTTGTGATGGGAATTCCAATGTGCTTTGCATTGAAAGTGAGAGGCAAGCCCTTTTGAAGTTCAAGCAAAACCTCATTGATCGATCAAATAGGCTATCTTCTTGGGTTGAAGGTGAGGATTGCTGTGAATGGGTTGGTGTTTTCTGCAATAATTTCACTGGCCATGTCAAAGAGCTGCACTTGGGGCTTCATTCAAGTAGTCCTGATGTAGAACTGGATGATGAATGGGATGGTTACTTTCAGTCAGCTGAATGGGATGCTTACTTTCGGTCAATGCTAGGAGGCAAAATAAATCCTTCTTTGATCGAGTTGAAACATCTCAGTTTCCTAGACTTAAGCAACAACGACTTTAGAGGCTTGGCAATTCCTGAATTCATTGGTTCGATGAAGAGTTTGATACATCTTAACCTCTCTTTGGCAAATTTCAGCAGAACAATTCCCCATAATCTTGGAAATCTCTCAAAATTACAATGTCTTGATCTTGGATACAATTCCTTTTTTGAAGCTAAAACTCTTCAATGGGTTTCTGGTCTTTCATCTCTGCAATATCTTGATTTGAGTCATGTAGATCTTGGTAAAGCAATTGATTGGCTACAGGCAACATACAAACTTCCTTCTTTGGTGGAGTTACACTTGTCAGAATGCTCTTTAAATAATGATCCATCTCCAATCAGTGTTAATTACACATCTCTTACTGTTCTTGACCTTTCCAGAAACATGTTGTCTTCAGTGCCTACATGGATATTCAGTGTTTGTAGCCTTGTGTCCATTGATCTTAGCCTTAATGGAGCTGAAGGTTTGATTCCCAATGGTTTTCAAAATCTGTCTTCTCTCAAATTTCTTGATCTTAGTTGGAATTCATTCTCTTCATCATCGACACTCAGCTGGTTGTCTAATTTAAACCAACTTCAATTCCTTGGTCTTGGTGATGTCGGCCTGAAAGGTAATTTTCCAAGTGCTATTGGAAACTTGAGCTCTCTTACTCATCTTGATGTTTCACGTAATGGAATTGATCAAGAGGTATCAGAAATCATAGAAAGTTTGTCTAGATGTAGTTTGGATCGATTAGAGTCATTAAATATTGCATCTAACAAACTTTCTGGCCATTTACCTGATCAACTTGGCCAATTTAAAAATTTGGCATACCTTTTCCTTTCTAGAAACTCCATTTCTGGTCCTATTCCATTCTCAATAGGGAAGTTGCCATCATTGAAACTTCTTGATGTTTCATGCAATCAATTGAATGCAACTCTTCCTCAAAGTTTAGGACAACTTAGGAATTTGGAACATTTAGACATTAGCAATAATATGTTGGAAGGAAATCTATCAGAAATGCACTTTTCTAAGCTCACGAGATTGAGATTATTTTGGGCATCTAACAACATGATAACGTTTAAACCAAATCCAAGTTGGATTCCTCCTTTTCACTGTGAAAGTATTGAATTGCGTAACTGGCATATTGGTCCGCAATTTCCTCAGTGGCTACAATTCCAAAAGAACTTGTCTCGTTTAGATATCTCCCATGCTGAAATTTCAGGTGTCATTCCCACTTGGTTTTGGAGCCTTTCGACTCAATTTGAATATCTAAACCTTTCCCATAACCATCTAGTCGGGGGGATTTCATATTTACCGAAGAGTAGGACAGTTGACTTGAGGTCCAACCTACTCACAGGTCCATTGCCACGAGCAATTTCACATTTGGAGTTTTTATTTTTGTCTAAGAATCTATTTTCAGGATCCCTTTCTAATATTCTTTGTAATTCCTCAACTAAACTGGAAACTTTGACCATTCTTGACATTGAATCAAATCTTCTGTCAGCTGAAATTCCAGATTGTTGGGAAAATTGGCAAATGTTGGAAGTCTTAAATTTAGGAAACAACAATCTAACTGGGAAAATACCTAGATCCTTGGGATCTCTGTGTTTTATTATCTTTTTAAACCTTGGTAACAACAGCTTGTTTGGAGAAGTTCCATCCACATTGCAGCATTTTGTCTATATGCGTGTTCTTGATCTTAGTGAAAATCAATTGACGGGAAGTATTCCAGCATGGATTGGAGACAAGCTCTCAAACCTCGTGGTTCTAAACCTTCGTTCAAACAACTTTCAAGCCTATATTCCTGATCAAATTTGTGCTCTTTATTCTCTTCATGTCTTGGATCTTGGTTATAACAACATTTCAGGAGCTATTCCAAAATGTTTTAGTAACCTAAAACACTTGGACCAAAACATTCATGGCTGGGTTTACCAAATTGACTCTGACAACATGTTCTATTTAGATGCATTATTGGTGAGGAAAGGAAGAGAGGATGAATACAGTACCACACTAGGACTTGTTACCGGCATAGACCTATCAGTAAACAGTCTCACAGGAGAGATCCCCAAAGAACTTGGCAATCTCACGTGGCTGCAGTCATTAAATTTGTCAGGGAATCTCCTTACAGGAAAGATACCAGAGAACATTGGCAATATGAAGTTGTTGGAATCTCTTGACTTGTCGATGAACCGATTGCATGGTGAAATCCCTTCAAGTTTCTCCAATTTGAATTTCTTGAATCACTTGAACTTGTCCTACAACAACTTGACAGGACAAATTCCATCAGGCACCCAGCTCCAAAGCTTTGATAAGTTTTCTTACATTGGCAATCATCTTTGCGGACCTCCAATCACTAAAATTTGCAGCAGAAATGGCGAAACACATGAAATTACAAATGGAGATAGCAGTGAAGGAAGGCACAGGTCTAAGGTGAATTGGCTTTATGTGAGCATAGTGGTTGGATTTGTGATGGGGTTTTGGGGAGTAGTGGCTCCCCTATTTTTCATCAGGTCTTGGAGGTATGCTTACTATAAAAAACTAGAGCATATTGGAGACAAGCTATACGTGTTTTGGGCTACTATTGGTATGTAATTTGTACTGGAAGCTCATTTTGGTGTGTTTGGTAATGTAATAACTTGATTTTCATGCTCTTTACTTGATTCATGTATTCGGATTTGGATGTAGTATTCCATGTTATAATTTATTCAAATGAAATAGAATTGTGTCTTAATTTATCTCATTTATCGATGTCTATTCAAGTTTTATTCAATATGGGGTGAAGGTTGTCTTTAAAGAGGGCAAAATCACTGATCCTCTAATTTGAAATATTTGTCATCCTAGCCACATTTATGATTTTGATGTGTTGTTCAAAAGTAAAATTCTAAGCTAATGAGGAATTGAGTTAGTAATAAAGAGAAAGTTCTAGAACTTTGATATTTTAGATTCAAGCATCATCATACATGAATTTGGGTTTAAGTTTAAATTAAATTTGCCTAATTATGTGTTGATTTGTTGATTGGTTTAGTGATTTATTTATAGTTATTTTTAAAAATCTATTTATTTTTAGATTTATTATTAATGATGTGTCATTATATGGCTATCTAATAATATATAAAATTCATACACGATTAGTGTATCAAATTTTAATCCTTCTTTTATATATACATATATATGTAATAGTTATTATGATTGTAACTTTTTTTTGTATTGGTAAATTTTTTTAAAATTTATCAATAATTACTATAATAATATAAAAAATTATATAAATTGTATTAAAGGTTACAAAAAATTTTATAAATGATTATCAAACTTCTAACATTAGTTATAAATTATATTAAAGGTATTTAAAATCAAATTATTAAAAAAATTTTAAATTTGTATCAAATATTATCCAAAATTTACCCAAAATTATAAAATTATATTCATTTCACTTACCTAAATGAAGGAAACTTTGAAAAATAGGAAGGACAAAAGCAAATTTCAAAATCCCCCGTTTCATATTGGGTAAGATCTTAAAGGAAGATACTTTTCCAACCAAATCTTGGATTCAAGCAAACCCAATTTCCGTTAATTAAGGACAATAATTTCATAGCTTTGTTGGTTACTTTAACAATATTTTAATCAATATGCTTGCCAAAGAATAAATTTATAGGCTTCGGCTTTGGGGGTGCTTCAAAGTCATTAGAAACCGAAATGCCAGTCAAATTTGGTTATAGAACAGGGTTCATTCACCTAATTCCAAAGACTTTTTTTTTTTTTCAGTTCCCAACGAAAGCATGTTTTGACTATTAATAGGAATCGTTCTCTTTTTATGGTTATTGGTTTAATGTTAATGCATTCCACGTTAAGTAATCGTTCTCTTTTCTTTCAGTTCTCATGATCTTAAAAAATATTTTTTTTTCACATCGGTTCAATGTATTCAAAGTTTTATTCTCTTTATTATAATATATATATATATATCCGTAAATTTATCATTAATTTTTAATGTATTTATCATTCATATGTCTAAGATTTAAATGAAAGTCATACTAATAATCTGTGATTAAAGTTATATTAAAAATTAACAAAAAAATAATTGTGTAAATTATGAGAAAACTTACAAAATTAAAGTTTTACCTTTCATAGATCACATACATAAAGTACAATAATTTCATATTTATATAAGACCACGAATTATGTTTGAATTAATATTCTTTTTCAACAATTTGCTTAATTTTAATCAAACATATATAACAATATTTGATTTAACCAAAAAAAAAAAAAACTAAAGCAAAAAATAATATGCAAAAGGAGTCTTAACTTCTCTAAATTTTATGTAATTTTAAATTTTCTAAATTTTTCTTCTTTTTTTTTTCCATTTTCTAAGATTTAAAGAGTCTTAATTACATGGCCGTGGGACTTACTCCATTTGATTGACTAGATTGTCCCTTTTTGTTCTTTTTCCTACACTTTGTGGAATTTTAAACATATATATTAATGCCTTTTGTAGAAAATTCAAGTTTGAAAATTGAAGGTCTTGGAAGAAACTTCCTAGGATTTGATGTGGTGGAAAATTTTTTTCTTTTAACTTTATATATTTGTGTTGCACCTAATTATAAATATAATATATATCTATTAATTAATAACATTAAAAAAATCAAATAAAATAACTTGTAAAATACAAAAAAATAATGTAAATATTTTGTTTTTCACAATTAAAAACATAATTTTTTATTTTCATATTTTAATCTATTTTTATTTTTGTTTTTTAAAATTTATTTTCATTTTCAATTATTAAATACATTTCACTCATATTTTTTATTTTCAAAAAAACAAAAATAAAAATAATTCTATTTTTTGAAACCAAATATTATCTTAATTTTTTTAAATTTTATGTAATTTTATTTTTTCAACAATTTGCTTAATTTTAACCAAACATATATAGCAAATTTTGATTTAACCAAAAAAAAAGAAACTAACTAGAGTAAAAATAATAAGTAAAAAGATTCTAAGCTCCACAGAGTTGGCTTACTTGACTTGTCCTTTTTTCTTCTTTCTACACTAGTGGAATTTTAAACATAGAAATGAATGCCTTTTGTGGAAAATTCAAGCTGAAAAATTGAAAGTCTTGGAAGAAACTTCCTAGCACTTGATGTGGTAGAAAATATTTTTCTTTTAACGTTATATATTCGGTGTTGGTAGCAATGATCGGTATGCAACCATGAGAGCGGTTACAATTTCCTTTTTTGGATTTCTTCTTGTCATCGCAGCCACCGTTATTAGCTTTTGTGATGGGAATTCCAATATGCTTTGCATTAAAAGTGAGAGGCAAGTTCTTTTGAAGTTCAAGCAACACCTAATTGATCGATCAAACAGGCTATCTTCTTGGGTTGAAGGTGAGGATTGCTGTGAATGGGTTGGTGTTTTCTGTAATAACTTCACTGGCCATGTCAACGAGCTGCACTTGGCGCTTCCTTCAATTAGTTCTGATGTGTATACGACGAAGGCTGAATGGTTTGCTTACGTTCGGTCAAAGCTAGGAGGCAAAATAAATCCTTCTTTGATCGAGTTGAAACATCTCAGTTTCCTAGACTTAAGCAACAACGACTTTGGAGGCCTGGCGATTCCCGAATTCATTGGTTCGCTGAAGAGTTTGACATACCTTAACCTCTCTTCGGCAAATTTCCAAACAGCAATTCCCCATAATCTTGGAAATCTCTCAAAATTGCATTATCTTGATCTTGGACACAATTCCCTATTTGAAGCTAAAACTCTTCAATGGGTTTCTCGTCTTTCGTCTCTGATGTATCTTGATCTGAATTATGCAAATCTTACTAAAGCAACTGATTGGCTGCAGGCAACACACAAACTTCCTTCTTTGGTGGAGTTACACTTGTCAGGATGCTTTCTAAATAATGATCCATCTCCAATCAGTGTTAATTACATATCTCTTACTGTTCTTGATCTTTCCAGAAACACGTTGTCTTCGGTACCTACATGGACATTCAGTCTTCGTAGTCTTGTGTCCATTGATCTTAACTCTAATGGAGTTGAAGGTGTGATGTCCAATGGTTTTCGAAACATGTCTTCTCTAAAATTTCTTGATCTTAGCTTCAATTCATTCTCTTCATCATCGACACTCAACTGGTTGTCTAATTTAAACCGACTTCAATTCCTTGGTCTTCGTGGTGTCAGCCTGCAAGGTAATTTTTCAATTGCCACTGGAAACTTGAGCTCTCTTTCTTATCTTGATCTTTCAGATAACCAGCTTGAAATTATAGAACCCAAATGTTTGGAAAGTCTTTGCAATCTGAGGGAGATGGATTTGTCAAATAATGGAATTGATCAAGAGGTATCAGAAGTCATAGAGAGTTTGTCTAGATGTAGTTTCGATCGATTAGAGTCATTAAATATTGCATCTAACAAACTTTCTGGCCATTTACCTGACCAACTTGGCCAATTTAAAAATTTGGTATACCTTTCCCTCTCTGGAAACTCCATTTCTGGTCCCATTCCATTCTCAATAGGGAAGTTATCATCATTGAAAGTTCTTGATGTTTCACACAATCGATTGAATGCAACTCTCCCTCAAAGTTTAGGACAACTTGGGAATTTGGAACATTTAGACGTTAGCAATAACATGTTGGAAGGAAATATATCAGAAATGCACTTTTCTGATCTCACGAGATTGAGATTATTTTTCGCATTTAACAACATGTTAACGTTTAAACCAAATCCAAGTTGGATTCCTCCTTTTCACTGTGATAGTATTGAATTGCGTAACTGGCATCTTGGTCCGCAATTTCCTCAGTGGCTACAATTCCAAAAGAATTTGTCTCTTTTAGATGTCTCACATGCTGAAATATCAGGTGTCATTCCCACTTGGTTTTGGAACCTTTCGACTCAATTTGAATATCTAAACCTTTCCAACAACCAACTAGTCGGGAAGATTTCATATTTTCCGAGGAGTTTGATTGTTGACTTGAGTTCCAACCTATTCACAGGTCCATTGCCACAGGCACCCTCAGATTTGATGTTTTTATTTTTGTCTAAGAATCTATTTTCAGGACCCCTTTCTAATATTCTTTGTAATTCCTCAACTAAACTGGAAACTTTGACCATTCTTGACATTGAATCAAATCCTCTGTCTGGTGAAATTCCAGATTGTTGGGAAAAATGGCAAATGTTGGAAGTCTTAAATTTAGGAAACAATAATCTAACTGGGAAAATTCCTAGATCCTTGGGATCTTTGAGTTATATTATGTCATTAAACCTTCATAGCAATAACCTGTTTGGACAAGTACCTTCCACATTGCAGCATTTAGTTGGTATGCGTATTCTTGATCTTAGCAAAAATCAATTGACTGGAAGTATTTCAGCATGGATTGGAGACAAGCTCTCAAATCTTGAGGTTCTAAACCTCCGTTCAAATAACTTTCAAGCCTATATCCCTGATCAAATTTGTGCTCTTAAGTCTCTTCATTTCTTTGATCTTGGTTATAACAACACTTCAGGAGCTATTCCAAAATGTTTTAGTAACCTAAATGACATAGCCACAAAACGGCCCAGCGGATTCATGGATCGGCCCATGGAATTCGGCCTTGGCCTAACGCTTTATTTAAGGGCATTATTGGTGATGAGAGGAAGAGAGGATGAATATAGTGTCACGGACCTAAGAAAGAATCCTGAATCCTACATCGAATATAATAGGGGGGTCACTGGGGTATAAAAGTGTTCACACCACCTCTTCCTTGTGAGGCACATTTTGTAGGACAAAACTGTGAGACCAGGGAGGCCAGAGCAGACAATACCTCATAAGGATGTGAACCGTTGTAGATAGGTTGATCTGGGATGTCGGAAGGGTGAATGCCCGGGTCCCAGAGCCGCGCAGGTTCAGAGCTTAAGTCTCAACCCGTGACAAGTGGTATCAGAGTCAGCCCTAAACCGTTTGATCCACGAGGTTAGAGTCTTGAATCCCACATCGAACATAATAGGAAAGTCACTGGGGTATAAAAGGGTTCACACCATCTCTTCCTTGTGAGACACCTTTTGTAGGACAAAACCGTGAGGCCAAAGGGGCCAGAGCGGACAATACCTCACAAGGGTGTAAACCGTGACAGGTAGACTGATCTGGGATGCCAGAAGGGTGAATGCCCGGATCTCGGAGTCGCGTGGGTTCGGAGCTTAAGTCTCGACCCGTGACAATAGTACCACACTAGGACTTGTTACCGGCATAGATCATTCAGTTAACAGTCTCTCAGGGGACAGATACCAGAGAACATTGGCAATCTGGAGTTGGAATCTCTTGACTTGTCGATGAACCGACTCCATGGTGAAATCCCTTCAAGTTTCTCCAATTTGAACTTTTTGAATCACGTCAACGTGTCATATAACAAATTGACAGGACAAATTCCATCAGGCACCCAGCTCCAAAGCTTTGACAGGTTTTCTTACATTGGCAATCATCTTTGCGGACCTCCAATCACAAAAAATTGCAGCAGAAGTGGCGAAACACCTGAAATCATAAATGGAGATAGCAGTGAAGGAAGGCACAGGTCTGAGGTGAATTGGCTTTATGTGAGCATAGTGGTTGGATTTGTGATGGGGTTTTGGGGAGTAGTTGCTCCCTTGTTTTTCATCAGGTCTTGGAGGTTTGCTTACTATAAAAAACTAGAGCATATTGGTGATAAGCTAAACGTGTTTTGGGCGTATGTAATTTGTACTGGAAGCTCATTTTGGTGTGTTTGATAATGTAATAACTTGATTTGCATGCTCTTTACTTTATCCATATATTCGGATTTGTTGGTGGTATTCCATGTTATAATTTATTCAAATGAGATAGAGTTATATCTTAATTTATTTAATTTATATATGTTTATTCGAGTTTTATTCAATATAGGATGAAAGGTAGCTTTAAACAGGGCAAAATCATTGATCCTCACATTTGAAATATTTGTCATCCTAGTCATATTTATGATTTTTGATTCTCAAAAGTAAAATTCTAAGCCAACGAGGACTTGGGATAGTAATAAAGAGAAAGTTCTAGAACTTTGATATTTTAGATTCAAGGATCATCGTACATGAGTTTTGGTTTAATTTTATGTTAAATTTACTTATTTTTATTTTTTTATTAGTTTAGTGATTTATTTATATTTATTTTTAAGGATATATTTACTTTTAGATTTATTCATTAATGATGTGTCATTGTATGATTATCTAATAGTATATAAAAATTCATATACGATTAATATATCAAATATTAACCCTTTATATATATATGTAATAGTTATTATGATTGTAACTTTTTTTGTTGTTGTAGTTTCAAAAAAATTATCAAACTTTTATCAATTATTACTATAATAATATAAAAAATTTTCAAAATTATATTAAAGGCTATAAAAAAAATTTATAAATGTTTATCAAACTTCTAACATTGGTTATAAATTATATTAAAGGTATTTAAAATCAAAATTATATAAAAATTATCAAGATATTCAAAAATATTATTAAAATTTTATCCAAAATTATCAAATTATATTCATTTCACTTACCTAAAAAAAAAGAATCTTTGACAAATGGAAAGGACAAAAGCAAATTTCAAAATGTTGGGTAAGATCTTAAAGAAAGATGCTTTTCCAACTAAATCTTGCATTCAAGCAAACCCAATTTTACTTAATTAAAGACAATAATTTCACGGCTTTCTTGGTTAGTTTATCAATTTTTTAATCAATGTGCTTGCCAAAGAATAAATTTATAGGCTTTGGCTTTGGGGGTAATTCATGGTCATTAGACACAAAAATGGCAGTCAAATTTGCTTATAAAATAGGGTTCATTCAGCTTATTCCAAAGACTTTTTTTTTTTTTTTAGTTCCCAACAAAAGCATGTTTTGATTTATTAATGCATTCCATGTTAAGCATAATGGCATTATTTTAAATCTATTTACTTAATTTTGAATCTCTATGCTTATCATCAAATAATTGCTAATTAAACATATATCAATCTTTTAAATTGATTAAATTAAATTTTGGATTTATTATAAAAATAATTTTAGAATCAACATTTGTATACAACTTGTAATAAAAATTTTCATTTTCATAAATCAATCTATTTTTATTTTTTTCTAAAAACTTATTTTTTTTCAAAATTTATTTTCATTTTCAATTATCAAATAGGTTTTCACTCATATGTTTTATTTTTTAAAAATTTTAAAAATAAAAATAATCTTATTTTTTTGAAACGAACACTGTTTTAACTTCTCTAATTTTATTTTTTCTAAATTTTTCAATTTTTTTTCTCTTTTCTCAAACCTAAGGAGTCTTAATTAGTTGACTGTGGAATTCACTCCATAGACTCGGATGATTTGACATGCCCTTTTTTTATTCTTCTTTCTACACTTTGTTGAATTTTAAACATACATATGAATTCTTTTTTTTGAAAAATTCAAACTGAATAATTGGAGGTCTTAGAAGAAACTTCCTAACATCTGATATGGTGGAAAATGTTTTTCTTTTAAATTTTATATATTCGTTGCTGGTATCAACGATCAGTATGCAGCCAAGAACGCGGTTACAATATCCTTGTATCAAATATTATTAAAATTTTATCTAAAATTATCAAGTTATATTCATTTCACTCTCCTGAAAATAGAATCTTTGAAAAATGAAAAAGACAAAAGCAAATTCCAAAATCCCTGTTTCATGTTAGGTAAGATCTTAAAGAAAGATGCTTTTCCAACTAAATCTTGCATTCAAGCAAACACAATTTTATTTAATTAAATTGGCCGTCTTGGAAGAGAGTTCCTAGCACTTGATGTGGTGGAAAATATATACTTTTTTATATATATTCGGTGTTGGTAGCAATGATCAATATGCAACCATGAGAGCGGTTACAATTTCCTTGTTTGGATTTCTTCTTGTCATCGCAGCCACCATTATTAGCTTTTGTGATGGGAATTCCAATGTGCTTTGCATTGAGAGTGAGAGGCAAGCTCTTTCGAAGTTCAAGCAACACCTAATTGATCGATCAAACAGGCTATCTTCTTGGGTTGAAGGTGAGGATTGCTGTGAATGGGTTGGTGTTTTCTGCAATAATTTCACTGGCCATGTCAAAGAGCTGCATTTGGGGCTTCATTCAAGTAGTCCTGACATAGAACTGAATGATGAACGGGATGTTTATTTTCAGTCAGCTGAACGGGATGCTTACTTTCGGTCAAAGCTAGGAGGCAAAATAAATCCTTCTTTGATCGAGTTGAAACATCTCAGTTTCCTAGACTTAAGCAACAACGACTTTGGAGGCCTGGCAATTCCTGAATTCATTGGTTCGATGAAGAGTTTGACATATCTTAACCTCTCTTCGGCAAAATTTAGCAGAGCAATTCCCCATAATCTTGGAAATCTCTCAAAATTACATTATCTTGATCTTGGACACAATTCCTTTTTTGAAGCTAAAACTCTTCAATGGGTTTCTGGTCTTTCGTCTCTGCAGTATCTTGATTTGAGTGATGCAAATCTTACTAAAGCAACCGATTGGCTGCAGGCAACACACAAACTTCCTTCTTTGGTGGAGTTGCACTTGTCAGATTGCTATTTAAATAATAATGATCCATCTTCAATCAGTGTTAACTACACATCTCTTGCCGTTCTTGATCTTTCTTCAAACATGTTGTCTTCGATACCTACATGGATATTCAGTCTTCGTAGTATTGTGTCCATTGATCTTAGCTCTAATGGAGTTGAAGGTGTGATTCTCAATGGTTTTCAAAACATATCTTCTCTCAAATTTCTTGATCTTAGTTGGAATTCATTCTCTTCATCATCGACACTCATCTGGTTGTCTAATTTGAACCGACTTCAATTCCTTGGTCTTCGTGGTGTCAGCCTGCAAGGTAATTTTTCAATTGCCATTAGAAACTTGAGCTCTCTTACTCATCTTGATCTTTCAGCTAACCAGCTTGAAGTTATAGAACCCAAATGTTTGGAAAGTCTTTGCAATCTGAGGGAGATGGACTTGTCAAATAATGGAATTGATCAAGAAGTATCAGAAATCATAGAGAGTTTGCCTAGATGTAGTTTGGATCGATTAGAATCATTAAATATTGCATCTAACCAACTTTCTGGCTGTTTACCTGATCAACTTGGCCAATTTAAAAATTTGGCATACCTTTCCCTTTCTGGAAACTCTATTTCTGGTCCCGTTCCATTCTCAATCGGGAATTTGTCATCATTGAAACTTCTTGATGTTGCATACAATCGATTGAATGCAACTCTCCCTCAAAGTTTAGGACAACTTGGGAATTTGGAACATTTAGACGTTAGCAATAATATGTTGGAAGGAAATATATCAGAAATGCACTTTTCTAATCTCAAGAGATTGAGATTATTTTGGGCATCTAACAACATGTTAACGTTTAAACCAAATCCAAGTTGGATTCCTCCTTTTCATTGTGAAAGTATTAAACTGCGTAACTGGCATATTGGTCCGCAATTTCCTCAGTGGCTACAATTCCAAAAGAATTTGTCTGTTTTAGATATCTCACATGCTGAAATTTCAGGTGTCATTCCCACTTGGTTTTGGAACCTTTCGACTCAATTTGATTATCTAAACCTTTCCTATAACCATCTAGTTGGGGAGATTTCATATTTACCGAAGAGTAGGATGGTTGACTTGACGTCCAACCTACTCACTGGTCCATTGCCACGAGCAAATTCAAATTTGGAGTTTTTAATTTTGTCTAAGAATCTATTTTCAGGATCCCTTTCTAATTTTCTTTGCAATTCCTCAACTAAACTGGAAGCTTTGAAACTTCTTGACATTGAATCAAATCTTCTGTCAGGTGAAATTCCAGATTGTTGGGAAAATCAGCCAAAGTTGGGAGTCTTAAATTTAGGAAACAACAATCTAACTGGCAAAATTCCTAGATCCTTGGGATCTTTGCAGAATATTATGTCATTAAAACTTCGTACCAATAACCTGTTTGGAGAAGTACCATCCACATTGCAACATTTAGCTTATATGCTTATTCTTGATCTTAGTGAAAATCAATTGACGGTAAGTATTCCAGCATGGAATGGAGACAAGCTTTTAAACCTTGTGGTTCTAAACCTTCGTTCAAATAAATTCCAAGCCCATATTCCTGATCAAATTTGTTCTCTTAATTCTCTTCATTTCTTGGATCTTGGTTATAACAAAATTTCAGGAGCCATTCCAAAATGTTTTAGTAACCTAAAACCCTTGGACCGAGACGGTTTGGCCTGGGGTTTGTTAATTGACTCTTACAACTTGTATTATTTTGGTGCATTATTGGTGAGGAAAGGAAGAGAGGATGAATACAGTACCATACTAGGTCTTGTTACCGGCATAGACCTATCAGTAAACAGTCTCACAGGAGAGATCCCCAAAGAACTTGGCAATCTCACGTGGCTGCAGTCATTAAATTTGTCAGGGAATCTCCTTACAGGAAAGATACCAGAGAACATTGGCAATATGAAGTTGTTGGAATCTCTTGACTTGTCGATGAACCGATTGCATGGTGAAATCCCTTCAAGTTTCTCCAATTTGAATTTCTTGAATCACTTGAACTTGTCCTACAACAACTTGACAGGACAAATTCCATCAGGCACCCAGCTCCAAAGCTTTGACAGGTTTTCTTACATTGGCAATCATCTTTGCGGACCTCCAATCACTAAAAATTGCAGCGGTGGAACACCTGGAATTACAAATGGAGATAGCAGTGAAGGAAGGCACAGGTCTAAGATGAATTGGCTTTATGTGAGCATGGTGGTTGGATTTGTGATGGGGTTTTGGGGAGTAGTGGCTCCCCTGTTTTTCATCAGGTCTTGGAGGTTTGCTTACTATAAAAAACTAGAGCATATTGGTGATAAGCTATACGTGTTTTGGGCTACTATTGGCATGTAATTTGTACTGGAAGCTCATTTTGGTATGTTTGGTAATGTAATAACTTGATTTGCATGCTATTTACTTGATCCATGTATTTGGATTTGGACGTAATATTTAATGTTATAATTTATTTAAATGAGATAGAGTTATGTCTTAATTTATTTCATTTATCGATATCTATTTAAGTTTTATTTAATATAAGATAAAAGTTGTCTACTACAAATTTAAAATTTTCGAACCTCAAAATAATTTTAAATGATATATAAGATAAAATTGAGTATCCACGGTCTTTACTAACTAGATAATTTCTTATAAGGGAGAAAAAAAAGTTATTCATGTCTACAATTTCTTTATTGTCTCCCTCATCTTCTATTTCACTTGCCTTTGAAATTTGTTGTCTTGGGCAACCCTATGGATGGTAACTAATTTATCTTTTTTAACCTTAAATGAGTACAAACATTTGCCTTTGGCGAAGCCATTTATTTGACTGCAATGTCCTTTTCTTACATTAAATAATGCATGTAAAAATTGCATTTTTTTACTTTCAAATTTGATCTTTTGACTTCACTAATGCAAACCCTTCTATATAATGTGACATTAGGGATAGATCAAGTCATGAAAAGGGCCTATCCAAAAGACATTTTTAGTTTACATGGGTCGAATTATGTATGTCATGAAAAAGCAATTCATACCCTTTAGTATTGAATTATTAATTAATCCCTAACTACAAACATTAATTAAAAGGAATTCTTTGTGTATTTTTTTACTTAATATCTTTTTTATTTTGAATTTGAATTCATTTCGTCTTCATCTTAAAAATCGTTCAACAATCATAATTTATAAATAAAATATTAAAGTTTTAGTTTCAACAATTAAAATCATTTTTAAAAATTTTAAATAAAAACTAAATGATTCATTGAATTTCAATAACAAACTATTTATAAACATAAAGAAAATAATTTTTTTTTGGTTGGGGAAGTGATGATGTTATGGCCATGGTGACATATGGCATGGCCAACATGATGCAAGACCCAAATTTAATTACCCCAAAAAGCAGACAATATAGAGACAGTAAGGGATGATAAGGAGTGACCTTGAGCTCCAAAACGAAGGTTGAGCCTAAAAAGGAGGCCCATCGCCACACAACGTACGCTCGGAAATCCCTTCGTGTGGGCTACCTGTCAGCATCCCCTAGACCGCCACACGTGTGCATCATATCCCTAAACACTGTCAGCATCTCTCAGAACCACACGTGTGGCCAATTTTTATATAGGTTTTTAGGTCGATTTTACATTTTTTTCCTTGTTCTTTCCTCTCTTATCAGTGTATCGTACACTATATTTCTTTGGAGTATCAATTTTATATAAACTAGTGTTGTACCCTGTTTTGTTTGGGATTGGTTGAGATTAATAATTTTTTTAAAGTATATTATAAAGATAAAATTAAAGATATTTAAATGCATTATATTTGTATTTATATATTAAATAAAAAATGGAAGTAACACATATAAAAGAAATAGTATAATTTAGTGAGAGATTAAAAAGTTAATATTATAATTTTATTTTATGTATCAAATAAAATGACAGCATGAAACAAATTTATATACAAAAACAGACTCCCTCAAATAAATCAATTAAAAAAGTAAGTTCCATTTCTTCACACCTAAAAATCCATTAAATCTAAAAAATTGGACGGCTATTATGTGTAAAAACTCATACAATAACAAACTCTTTGAAAATCTAACTTATAAAACAACCTATATTTCCTCACACCTCAAAGTTCATTAAACCAAAATAATAATAATAATAATAATAGTTGTCATGTGTAGAAGGTTTATCCATATTCCTCACATCCCAAAGCCCACTAAATCTCAAAAAAAAAAAAAAAAAAATTGTCATGCATAGATGGTTTATGAGACTGTTTTTATAGATGATAGTATAGATTTAACAAAAATTTTGATTTTTCATCTTAATAAGAATAAAGATGAGTTTTAAATTTTGAGACGGTGATAGAATTAAATATTATTTTAAAATTTTGTATCATACAAATATAAAGATAGATAATATAACTCACTCGTACCATACTATATCTTATATATATTTATTTATATTTAATAAATTAATTTTTTATTCAATAATATAAATTTATTTTAGATTAATTAGACTTAATATATATGTATTTAATATATATATAAAAAAAATTATATAAATGTACAAGATAAAAATTAAAAAAAAACAAAAACTAAATTATTTTTTATTTTTTAAAAAAAGCTAGGAGTATGAGAATTATCCATACTCATTATATACCACAGAATGAGAATAAATTTGAAATACTCATGGTATAGTTCTAAGCTAAAAATAAATAAAAAATCAAGAATGAGAATAAAATTAAGAAATGTTTTGCTCGCCCATATCATACTTATTAATATCCCTAATATTTGACTATATCCATAAAAAACCCAAATTTTACTCTTGATATTTAGCTCATTTAATTTATATTGTCAATTTAAAAATTGATATTAAATTTGTTTAAAATTCAAATAACTATAATTATAACTTTTTATATTTTCAAATTTTAATTTTTTTTAAACAAAACCTATATATTTTTATATTTTCAAATTTCGATTTTTAAACCCAAAGTCATAAATTTGTTTTGGAGTTTAGCTTTTACATGACCTTTTTGCATTGGCAATAACATGCATGCTTCCATCATAGCTTTGTTTGTCCTCCTAACCAAGAATAACAACAAGAACTTTGGTCTTTTGAAAAACTTAATTGGATTTGTGATAGGAAGGAGAATGGCGACTTCACCAATCACCAACAAAAGCTTTGAAATTAGAGTAAGATATAACTATAATTGGAATTAATGAGGACTTAAGGATAAGGAAATGCATAACCCAACAAATTCAATTAGCTAGACTTTAAGTTCATCTTTCTTAAGTCAATTATGGAGACTAAAAGGCAAAAGTTTTTCAATGTATGAACCTAATATTCAATCTAATTAATTTATATAATTATTTTCAAAAATAATATCTAACATATTTAAGATTTAAATTTTAATAACTGTAATCTCTTCACCTATTTTCAAATTGTAATTTTTTTGTATAAAAAAGTTACAAATAAAAATTGCATTATCTTATCTTGGACACAATTACCTATTTGAAGCTAAAACTCTTCCATGGGTTTCTGGTCTTTCGTCTCTGCAGTATCTTGATTTGAGTGATGCAAATCTTACTAAAGCAATTAATTGGCTGCAGGCAACACACAAACTTCCTTCTTTGGTGGAGTTACACTTGTCAGAATGCTCTCTAAACAATAATCCATCTCCAATCAGTGTTAATTACAAATCTCTTACTGTTCTTGATCTTCCCGGCAACACGTTGTCTTCGGTACCTACATGGATATTCAGTCTTCGTAGCCTTGAGTCCAGTGATCTAAAATCTAATGGAGTTGAAGATGTGATTCCCAATGGTTTTCAAAACATGTCTTCTCTCGAATTTCTTGATCTCAGTTGGAATTCATCCTCTTCATCATCGACACTCAGCTGGTTGTCTAATTTAAACCAACTTCAGTTCCTTGGTCTTCGTCACGTCGGCCTGCAAGGATTTTTCCAAGTGCCATTGGAAACTTGATCTCTCTTACTCATCTTTATCTTTCAGATAACCAGCTTGAAATTATAGAACGCAAATGTTTGGAAAGTCTTTGCAATCTGAGGGAGATGGATTTGTCAAATAATGGAATTGATCAAGAGGTATCAGAAATCATAAAGAGTTTGTCTAGATGTAGTTTCGATCGATTAGAGTCATTAAATATTGCATCTAACAAACTTTCTGGCCATTTACCTGATCAACTTGGCCAATTTAAAAATTTGGCATACCTTCCCTTTCTGGAAACTCCATTTCCAGCCCCATTCCATTCTCAATAGGGAAGTTATCATCAATGAAAGTTCTTGATGTTTCACAGTCGATTGAATGCAACTCTCCCTCAAAGTTTAGGACAACTTGGGAATTTGGAAGATTTAGACGTTAGCAATAATATGTTGTAAGGAAATATATCAGAAATGCACTTTTCTAATCTCACGAGATTGAGACTATTTTGGGCATCTAACAACAGGTTAACGTTTAAACCAAATCCAAGTTGGATTCCTCCTTTCACTGTGAAATTATTGAATTGCGTAACTTGCATATTGGTCCGCAATTTCCTCAGTGGCTCCAAAAGAACTTGTCTCTATTAAATATCTCCCATGCTGAAATTTCAGGTGTCCTTCCCACTTGGTTTTGGAACCTTTCGACTCAATTTGAATATCTAAACCATTCCCATAACCAAATGGTCGGGGAGATTTCATATTTATCAGTGAGTTATGTTATTGACTTGAGTTACAACCTATTCACAGGTCCATTGCCACTAGCAATTTCAAATCTGGAGTTTTCATTTTTGTCTAATAATCTATTTTCAGGACCCCTTTCTAATTTTCTTTGTAATTCCTCAACTAAACGGGAAACTTTGACCTTTCTTGACATTGAATCAAATCGTCTATCGGGTAAAATTCCAGATTGATGGAAAAATTGGCAAAGTTTGAAAGTTTTGAATTTTGGAGACAACAAAAAAGGGCAAGTTAAATCATCCAAGTCTATGGAGTAAGTCCCATGGTCAACTAATTGCCTTAGAAAAGAGAAAAAAAATTGAAAAATTTAGGAAAAAAAAAAAAGATTAGAGAAGAACTTCTTTAAATTTTATGTACTTTTATTTTTCTGAACTTGTTAATTTTTTTCTCCCTTCTAAAACCTAAGGACTCTTAATTAGCTGGCCGTGGAACTTACTCCATAGATGTGGCTGACTTGGCTTGCCCTTTTTTTATTTTCCTTTCAACACTTTGTTGAATTTTAAACATACATATGAATTCTTTTTTGTGAAAAATTCAAACTGAATAATTGGAGGTCTTAGAAGAAACTTCCTAACATTTGATATGGTGGAAAATGTTTTTCTTTTAACTTTTATATATTCGTTGTTAGTATCAACAATCAGTATGCAGCCAAGAACGCGGTTACAATATCCTTGTATCAAATATTATTAAAATTTTATCTAAAATTATCAAATTACATTCATTTCACTTACCTAAAAAAAAAAAAAGAATCTTTGAAAAATGAAAAGGACAAAAGCAAATTTCAAAACCCCGGCTTCATGTTTGGTAAGATCTTAAAGAAAGATGCTTTTCCAACTATATCTTGCATTCAAGCAAACACAATTTTACTTAATTAAATCGGAGGTTTTGGAAGAGAGTTCCTAGCACTTGATGTGGTGAAAAATGTTTTTCCTTTTTATATATTCGGTGTTGGTAGCAATGATCAATATGCAACCATGAGAGCCGTTACAATTTCCTTGTTTGGATTTCTTCTTGTCATCGCAGCCACCATTATTAGCTTTTGTGATAGGAATTCCAATGTGCTTTGCATTAACAGTGAGAGGCAAGCTCTTTTGAAGTTCAAGCAACACCTAATTGATCGATCAAACAGGCTATCTTCTTGGGTTGAAGGTGAAGATTGCTGTGAATGGTTTGGTGTTTTCTGGAATAACTTCACTGGCCATGTCAAAGAGCTGCATTTGGGGCTTCATTCAAGCAGTCCTGACATAGAACTGGATGATGAACGGGATGCTTACTTTCGGTCAAAGCTAGGAGGCAAAATAAATCCTTCTTTGATCGAGTTGAAACATCTCAGTTTCCTAGACTTAAGCAACAACGACTTTGGAGGCCTGGCAATTCCTGAATTCATTGGTTCGATGAAGAGTTTGACATATCTTAACCTCTCTTCGGCAAAATTCAGCAGAGCAATTCCCCATAATCTTGGAAATCTCTTAAAATTACATTATCTTGATCTTGGACACAATTCCTTTTTTGAAGCTAAAACTCTTCAATGGGTTTCTGGTCTTTCGTCTCTGCAGTATCTTGATTTGAGTGATGCAAATCTTACTAAAGCAACTGATTGGCTGCAGGCAACAAACAAACTTCCTTCTTTGGTGGAGTTACACTTATCAGATTGCTCTTTAAATAATAATGATTCATCTTCGATCAGTGTTAACTACACATCTCTTGCCGTTCTTGATCTTTCTTCAAACATGTTGTCTTCGATACCTACATGGATATTCAGTCTTCGTAGTCTTGTCTCCATTGATCTTAACTCTAATGCAGTTGAAGGTGCGATTCCCAATGGTTTTCAGAACATGTCTTCTCTCAAATTTCTTGATCTTAGTTAGAATTCATTCTCTTCATCATCGACACTCAGCTGGTTGTCTAATTTAAACCAACTTCAATTCCTTGGTCTTGGTGATGTCGGCCTAAAAGGTAATTTTTCAAGTGCTATTGGAAACTTGAGCTCTCTTACTCATCTTGATGTTTCACGTAATGGAATTGATCAAGAGGTATCAGAAATCATAGAGAGTTTGTCTAGATGTAGTTTGGATCGATTAGAGTTATTAAATATTGCATCTAACAAACTTTCTGGCCATTTACCTGATCAACTTGGCCAATTTAAAAATTTGGCATACCTTTTCCTTTCTAGAAACTCCATTTCTGGTCCTATTCCATTCTCAATAGGGAAGTTGCCATCATTGAAACTTCTTGATGTTTCATACAATCAATTGAATGCAACTCTTCCTAAAAGTTTAGGACAACTTAGGAATTTGGAACATTTAGACATTAGCAATAATATGTTGGAAGGAAATCTATCAGAAATGCACTTTTCTAATCTCACGAGATTGAGATTATTTTGGGCATCTAACAACATGATAACGTTTAAACCAAATCCAAGTTGGATTCCTCCTTTTCACTGTGAAAGTATTGAATTGCGTAACTGGCATATTGGTCCGCAATTTCCTCAGTGGCTACAATTCCAAAAGAACTTGTCTCGTTTAGATATCTCCCATGCTGAAATTTCGGGTGTCATTCCCACTTGGTTTTGGAGCCTTTCGACTCAATTTGAATATCTAAACCTTTCCCATAACCATCTAGTCGGGGGGATTTCATATTTACCGAAGAGTAGGACAGTTGACTTGAGGTCCAACCTCCTGGTCCATTGCCACGAGCAATTTCAAATTTGGAGTTTTTATTTTTGTCTAAGAATCTATCTTCGGGATCCCTTTCTAATATTCTTGGTAATTCCTCAACTAAACTGGAAACTTTGACCATTCTTGACATTGAATCAAATCTTCTGTCAGGTGAAATTCCAGATTGTTGGGAAAATTACCAAATGTTGCAAGTCTTAAATTTAGGAAACAACAATCTAACTGGGAAAATTCCTAGATCCTTGGGATCTGTAGGGTGGTATTGAGTCATTAAACCTTCGTAACAATAACCTGTTTGGAGAAGTACCATCCATATTGCAGCATTTAGCTAATTTGCTTATTCTTGATCTTAGTGAAAATCAATTAACGGGCAGTATTCCGGCATGGATTGGAGACAAGCTTTTAGGCCTTGTGGTTCTAAACCTTCGTTCAAATAAATTCCAAGCCTATATTCCTGATCAAATTTGTGCTCTTAATTCTCTTCAGTTCTTGGATCTTGGTTATAACAACATTTCAGGAGCTATTCCAAAATGTTTTAGTAACCTAAGTGCCATGGCCACAAAACCCATCAACGGAATCTTGGATCGATTGGTCTTGGAAGTCGACCCTAGCAACTGGTTTTATTTAGGTGCATTATTGGTGATGAGAGGAAGAGAGGATGAATATAGTACCACACTAGGACTTGTTACCGGCATAGACCTTTCAGGTAACAGTCTCACAGGAGAGATCCCCAGAGAACTTGGTAATCTCAAGGAGCTGCGGTCGTTATATTTGTCAGGAAATCTCCTAACAGGACAGATACCAGAGAACATTGGCAATCTGGAGGTGTTGGAATCTCTTGACTTGTCTATGAACCGACTCCATGGTGAAATCCCTTCAAGTTTCTCCAATTTGAATTTTTTGAATCACTTCAACGTGTCATATAACAACTTGACAGGAAAAATCCCCTCAGGCACCCAGCTCCAAAGCTTTGACAATTTTCTTACATTGGCAATCTTCTTTGCGGACCTCCAATCACTAAAAATTGCAGCAGCAATAGCGAAACACCTGAATTAGAAATGGAGTAGCAGTGAAGGAAGGCACAGGTCTAGGGTGAATTGGCTTTATGTAAGCATGGTGGCTGGATTTGTGATGGGGTTCTGGGGAGTAGTGGCTCCCCTGTTTTTCATCAGGTCTTGCAGGTTTGCTTATTATAAAAAACTGGATCATATTGGTGATAAGCTATACGTGTTTTGGGCTACTATTGGTATGTAATTTGTACTGGATACTTAATAGTATGTAACTTGTACTGGAAGCTCATTACAGTGTGTTTAGTAATGAATAGCTTGATTTGCATGCTCTTTACTTGATCCAGGTATTCGGATATGAAAATGGTATTCCATGTTATAATTTATTGAAATGAGATAGAGTTATGTCTTAATATATATCACTTATAATTGTCTGTTTGAGTTTTATTTAATATGGGGTGAAAATACCTTTAAAGAGGGCAAAATCATTAATCATTTAAATTAAAATATTTGTCGTCTTAGTCATATTTATGATTTTGATGTGTTGTTCAAAAGTAAAAATCTAAGCCAACGAGAACTTAGGTTAATAAAGAGGAAGTTTTAAAATCTTAATGTCTTAGATTAAAGTCTAATCATACATGAGTTTGATTCAATTTCAAATTAAATTTGTCTATGTTTTGATTCGTTGATTGCTTTAGTGATTTATTTATATTTATTTTTAAGGGTTTGTTTTCTTCTAGTTTTATTAATGATGTATCATCGTATGATTATCTGATAGTATATAAAATTTATGCCCGGTTAGTGTATCAAATATTAACTTTTCTTATATATTGATGTAATAGTTATTATGATTGTAACTTTTTTAAAAAAATCAAAATTTTATCAATAATTACTATAAATAATATAGAAAATTACCTAAATTGTATTAAAGGTTACAAAAATTTTATAAATGAATATCAAACTTCTAACATTGGTTATAAATTATATTAAAGGTATTTAAAATGAAAATTATATGAAAACTATTAAAATTGTATCAAATATTAGTAAAATTTTATCCAAAATTATCAACTTATATTCATTTCACTTATCTAAAAAAAGGAATTTTTGAAAAATAGAAAGGACAAAAGCAAATTTCAAAATCCTCAGTTTCCTGTTGGGTAAGATCTTAAAGAAAGTTGCTTTTCCAACCAAATCTTGCATTCAAGCAAACCCAATTTCAGTTAATTAAAAGACAATAATTTCATAGCTTTGTTGGTTACTTTAACAATTTTTTAATTAATATGCTTGCCAAAGAATAAATTTATAGGCTTTGGCTTTGGGGTTGCTTCAAAGTCATTAGACACCAAAATGCCAGTTAAATTTGGTTATAAAACATGGTTCAATCACCTTATTCCAAAGACTTTTTTTTTTTTTCAATTCCCAAGAAAAGCATGTTTTGACTATTGGATTAATAGGAATTGTTATCTTTTTATGGTCCTTTTTTCTTATTGGATTAATGCTAATGCGTTCCACGTTAAGCATAATGATATTATTTTAAATTCATTTACATAATTTTGATCTCTTTATTTATCATCAAATAATTGCTAATCTAACATTTATTGATTTTTAAATTGATTGAATTAATCTTCGGATTCATTATAGAATCTACTTTTGTATATAACTTGTAATAAAATTTTTATTTTCATATTTCAACTTTTTTTTAAAAAAATTATTTTCATTTTCAATTATTAAAACAAACTTTTACTCTTTTTTTGTTTTCTAAAAATTTAAAAATAAAAATAACTTTATTTTATAAAACTAAACACTAACTTAACTTCTGTAATTTTATTTTTCAAAATTTTTTCTTTTTTTCTTTTCTCTTTTCTAAGACTTAAGGAGTTTTAAGTAGTTGGCCGTGAAATTTACTCCATAATCTTGGAAGAAAATTTTTAGTGCTTGACGTGGTGCAAAATGCATTTTTTTTTTACTTTATATATTCGGTGTTGCATCTAATTATAAATATAACATATATTTATTAATTAAAGACAATAAAAAATATCAAATACGATAAGTAATAAAATATTTTAAAAAATAATGTATATTTTTTGTTTTGACAATTAAAAATATTTTTTTCATATTTTAGCTTAATTTTTTCATATTTTAGCTTATTTTTATTTTTAATTATTAAAAACATTTTCACTTATATTTTTATTTTCAAAAAATATAAATAAAAATTAACTCTATTTTCTAAAATCAAACATTATCATAACTTCTTTAAATTTTATGTAATTTTAATTTTTCTGAACTTATCAATTTTTTCTTTCTTTAGTTGGTCGTGGGTCTTACTCTATGGAATTGGTTGACTTGACTTGGTGTTTTTTATTTGTTTTTTCTACACTTTGTTCAATTTCAAACATACATATAAACGTTGTTTGTGGAAATTTTAAGTTGAAAAATTGGACGTCTTAGAAGAAACTTCCTAGCACTTGATGTGTCGAACCTTTGAATTATTTTTTGGTTGGTGGGAGAAGTACAAAAGGTTCCACTTTCCCTCTTGTTCCCGACAAACAACCAAATTCATCAAATATCCCAATTAAACTGTTTTTGCACTTTACAAGAGCAAGATTCAATGAATAGTCATCTTCTTAAAGTCCAATTCCATATTCAAGTATGGAAGAAAATTAAAAATAATCTGAAAATTTTTAAAGAAAATCCTAGAAAACACTGATGAACAATATACTCATGCATTAATATATGTGTGTGCATATATATAATAGATTACTATCATTGTTTTGGTACCAAAAACTCAAAGTCCAGGAAGTATATCAGACTATAGGCCCATTTCTTGTTGCTCGGTCATTTATAAATGCATTGCTAGAATCTTGGCAAGTAGGCTGCAACAGTATTTGCCACACCTCATCACCAAAAATCAAAGTGCCTTTATTAAAGAAGAAGCATAATAGACAACGTGCTTATGGCCCAAGAACTAGTAAGGGGATATAGTAGAGCAACACTTTCTCCTCGATGTGCGATAAAAATAGACTTGAAGAAAGCATTTGATTCCTTAAATTGGGAATTTCTAATAAATGTTCTATTAGCTATGTGGTTTTCAAGGAGATTTGTAGGATGGATTAAGAGTTGTCTAACTACTCCAAGATTTTCTTTATCCATCAATGGGAGGCTGGCAGGCTACTTTCGAGGTGCAAGAGGTGTCAGGCAAGGTGACCCTTTGTCACCTTATCTATTTGTTATAGCAATGAATGTCTTATCAAGGCTCTTGGATGCAGCAGCACATTATGAGGTTATTTCTTATCGTCCAAAATGCAAGAAGATAAGATTAACGCACTTGTGCTTTGCTGATGATCTGCTAATCTTCACAAAAGGGAAGTTGGAGTCCATCTCTGGGATACAGCAGGTACTACAATTATTTTATTCATATTCGGTACTTCAGCTTAATTGCGAGAAGAGTGAACTGTTTTCTACAGGTGTTCCAAGAAGTGCATTACAAGAGATAATGCAGGTGAAAGGATTCAAACTAGGCACACTCCCTGTAAGATACCTTGGGGTTCCATTAGTTACACGTAGGATCTCCATAAAGGATTGTACTCCACTAATAGAGAAGATAACAGCCAGAATACATAGTTGGGCAGCAAAAAATTTATCATATGCAGGTAGCTTGCAGCTGATACAATCGATCATATTTAGTATTCAAAGCTACTGGTGCAGACATTTTATACTGCCAAAAAGGGTGATCCAAAAGGTTATACAGCTATGTTCAAGGTATTTCTGGAAAGGGCAGAATGAATCAGCTAAAGGGGCAAGGGTTAAATGGCAAACTCTATGCAGGCCTAAATCCGAAAGAGGACTCGGGTTAAAAGACTTGTTCATTTGGAATCAAGCTTGCATGATTAGATTTCTATGGTCTATTTTCTCATAAGCAGGTTCATTGTGGATTGCATGGGTGCATAGCTATGTGCTTAAAGGGCGCAATAAATGGGAGGTACCTATTACACAAAGTAGCAGTTGAAGCATGAAAACACTATTACAAATGAGGAGACATGCCACTCGATTGCAAACAGAGGAAGGCATAGGATGGAATGGGGGAGGTACTGAGAACTCAGTTACAGCTATATGGGATGAATTAAGACCGAAACAAATGAAGGTAGTGTGGCGTAGGCTAATATGTGTAGACACCCTCATTGTCCGAGCTCGGGCCCATTGGGCTTAGCTCAGACCTGGCCCAAATGAAGCAAAAGGGCTCAATTTTAGTTTTAATTTTATTGTATTTTTTATTATATTTTTTATTTATTATATTTTTTTTATTTTCATATTTATTTTTATTTTTATTTTTATTTTTTCTAGTCTCTTGATCCGAAAAGTTGAGCTCTAATTTTTGTTTTCCTTCTAGAAGGTGGAGTGATAGGATTGGATTGGGAATCAAGGATTGAATCTCAGTCAAATAGGGAATAGGAATTGATCAAAAATTGTTTCTGATCAATGCCTATAAAAGATAGGCTTAAACAGAAACACACATATACATGAAAACAGAGATGAATCAGAAAGCTAAAAAACAAATGGTAGAGTCTGGAAATATTTTAGGGGTGGTTAGAAGCAATTTAAAATTTTAGGAATTTTTTGAAGAATTTTTGGCTTTTTCTTTTTTTGAAACTTTTTTGGAAAATTTTTAAAATTCGGTGAAATTTTTCTGCAAGATTTAAGTTTTTCGGCGAGTATTCAGGCTAACTTTGAAGTTTTCGGCGTGTTTTTCAGATTCCGACAGAACTTCAACCAAAATCTGGGTTCTGTTTAGAGAGAAAGGGGAGAAAAAGGAAGAGGAGAGAGAGAGGAGAAAGAAGTCATTTGCTGAAAGGCTGAGTTTAGAGTCTTTTATACCTTGCTAAAACGACGTCATTTTGGAGTTAAAAATCCCAAAGGATCTGCGCGTTTCTGTTTAGTTCAACCCAACCCGATCGCAACCTGATTCGCTGACCTGCGTTTCAGCCAACCATCCCAGCCTAGTCGAGCTGAGTTGAGACTCTAAGCCGCACGTTTGAGCCGTGATTTCTGTCT